CGCTGGGGCGCGCGAGGCGCCCGGGCCCGCTGGGAGGCAGAGACAAGCGGGCGGCCAAACCTGCCGAGGAAAGTAACTAAATAAAAGGAGACTGTTATTTAAGGCGCGGAAATTTGAAATATTTGGACAGGAAGAGAAAAGAAAAGAAACCGTGGCGAGGAAGGGAGGGGGGTCAAAAAGCGAGCTAACGGTTTTGAAACTCCCCCACCCCCACCCCGGGCTTTGCTGGGCGCCGGGAGGGAGCTCCGGGCTCCCCTGGCGCACCAAGGAGCCGGGAACTAGACTGGGAAGCTGGAGAAAGAGTTTCCAAGGAGCAGAAAGGTTGTCTTCCCAGCCCCTCCGTGGAGGGCTGGGTGGCAAAAGGCAGGGCTTTACCCTGGGTCTCCTGCGGGAAACTGGTCTTCTGCCACTCTCCAGCTCTCTGCCTGCATCTATTTTCATAGAATTGTCGTGAGAAAATAGCCCCGAGTCCAAAGGAGGGACCCCCCCCCCCACCGCCCGCCCCCAGGCTTTTGAGGAAGGCTGCAAGCATCAGCTTTCCCCTCTCCAGCACGGATTTCCAGCTGCCTGGGTTCTTCTTTCTACCCCTGGCGAAAGACGTGAGCACCCTTTGGGGAGCTGAGATTCCGAAATAAGTCCCAGGCTACGGATTCCACCACGTTCGTTTTATGAACACGTTGGTGGAATTTTAGAATATTACCCGGTGAATCGCTTTCCTGGGACAGAATTGTTATCTACTTATAAATCAGTCACCCAGGGTGGTATGTGCGTGTACCGGACTCCTCACACCATTGCGAAATGCGTAAGGTTTATCCAAAGACACTTTACTCACTACTGAAGTTAAAATATTTTGCTTAGTGATTGGGAGACCAGAACATGGACCAAGGTCGTGTTAGGACCACTAGGACCTCTTGCCTCCTGCCCCACCACGTAAAAGCTTGGATTCAGCTTACCTCCCCCACCGCTGAGCCTGAGTCTCCCGACTGGGATGCGGACCCAGAGAAGAGCCAGATCTGAGGGCGCATCTCTGCTTTGTGTCCTCTGCTCACTCCACGGATTAGAACTTGGACCCCGACCCTCTGCATCTAAATCAATTCAGACCCCCTTCTTCCCACCGCAGTTCGCAACAGCTTTGATCCTAATGAACTCTGCAGCAAGGGTCCTTCTATACAAAGCGGCATATTCGAGTCTTAATGAATATCGTTGAGGTTTTGAAAGATGGCTTTTCATATTTCCTAGAGGGGACCACATAACTCATTTCTAAAATACTTAGATTAGCAAAGCTACTTCCTGCGAAGGGCCAGAGTAGTGTGATGGATGTATTCATGCCTAGCAAACTGCGTTGATCAGATACACAGCCCTCTTTTCTCTATATTGTGGTCCAACCACCTGACACAACTGAAGACGTACTACTTCTCTAGCTTTATGAACATCCGCTACCTGATGGAAATCTCTCGAAGACGATTTTACATTATGAAATAAAATGCTAAGGCATGGTGGATTTCAAACCCACTCTCTTGTCTTCCTAGTTGCAATTTGTAAAGTTATTTTCAGAACTATTTTTTTAAGAAAATCTTCAATCACTCAGAATGTATTTTGTAAACTATTTTTAAAAATCCAAGATGTTTTTCTTTAAAATCTTCTCAAATGTTACTTTGTTTTTAATCTTTAAAATAAGTCTCTCAAATTGTTTCATGTTGCTATAAAAAATCAATCTTAGTAACTTGTGGTTAGAGGTGGCAGAAGTTGAAGTATTGTTGCACTGAACTTCACAAAGATGAATTTCTGTGCAAAATGAAAACATTCAGCATTTCCTCCTGTATTCTTTTATACTATGATGAAAAATAAAATATTGCAACCACTTGCCTACAGCTATTTCGGTCTTTGTTAGGGCAGTCAGAACTATGTCCTTCAATAAACTTTGAAGTATTTTATTCTTTTGGAGGGAGGGCAGGGAGCTTATGAAAAAGTAGGAATATTTCATATAAAACATCTTTGTTCATGTGGGAAATGATGAATAAGGTATTTATAAATTTATAAATGGTAACTGCACTGAAATCCTTTGATGAAAACTTAACTAAAATTGTAAAGTGGATAGAAGATACTGAAAAACCCTCTTAGAAAGATTATATTTTTATTTCCTTCAAAAAGTTTCAAACTTTTTTGAGCTAGACATGTTCCTAAGATTTTATGAACTTAAATTTTCAAAGTACCATATGCAGGAGTGCCCTATTTACATACTGCAACTTTCTGTATTTATCACTACAGTCCCTAAAAGAATTGTGATTTATACATTTTTCCAGCTAAGCTTTTTGTCCCCTAAAATGGTAGCTGTAGTATATCTTAATACTTGTACATTTTGTGATGTTACATTTTTAACATTCAGGGAGAAAAAGTGTTACATTTAATATCCTTCTGGTACAATTTTGGAAAATGTATCATTTAACCAATTGTTTTATTTTGTGATGCTTGAAAAGATAACTCACAGGAAACACTTTTAAGGTAGCATTTTTAAAAAACGTTTTTAGAACATTTATTTTTAGATGCCTACTTAAGAAACTTGTTCTTCAACTATTTAAGAAAAAATTAACATTAAGAGAAATTCACACTGAAATACTCTTACATTTGAGCTTCAAACATATGCAGTGATTATTGTTTTAAGCAGAAATATTGTGTAAAATATTTTGTGTTGGGGGTGTGGGAAGCAAAAGAAGAGACAAAGTCATTAGAATGTCTGATTTTACAACTGATCTGGTTTTTCAAATGTCAAGGCTTAAAATACCCTGAACTTTTTAATACAGTTTTCATTGTCAAGTGGCAAATTGTAAAATGACTTTGAGTACATTTCAACTCATTAGTGACCCTAGAGGACAAAGTAAACTGCCCAGAGGATTCCCCAGCCTAGTCTTTAAGGAAGCAGAGAGCCACGTCTTTCTCCCACAGAGAGGGTTACAGAGGAGTGGAAATCACAGAAAAACATTGTTCTGTTTGGAAAGTGTTTTAATTAGGCAAAAGAAGCACAGGATAAACCATGTTTTAAAACAAAGTATCCAAGTTGGGTATTATGTGTGATAAAGGACAAAGCTAGGAAAAAGTCAAGGAAAGATAAAATTTTCATAAGAAAGCCAAAGCTGTTTTCAATTACATGTTAGAACTAAGGCTTTTGCAGGTGTAAAAAAATGTTGCTTAAATATATTCATAGACTTGTAAGATTTTTGCTTATGCAGTTTCAAAAGACTTAACTAGATGCTTAAAATAGGACAAAGCTGGATTTTAACAAATATTAAAAATGGTGAGGACAGCCAACCAAACCAATTAACTGAAAAAGTGGACCCATTGTGGGAGAGCTTTCCTCACATTCACTGGGGATTTGGAGCTCCCCCGGCCCCACATCCCTCCATGAGGCTAACCACCTCATTCCTCCGGTAGAGCCTGGCCAAATCGCAAGCGGTGTCCCCCTCATGGTTCCGATGCCCCACATTGCTGGCCGTGTGCTTCACCAGGAACTCCACCACCTGGAGGTGGCCTTCTTTGGCAGCCAAGTGTAAGGCCAGGTTCCCCTCATTATCCTCGATGTTAACATCAGCTTGAAACTCCAGCAAAGTCTGTAATGTGTCCAGGAAACCTGCTCTGGCTGCATCGTGAATGACAGCGAAACCAGTTTGGTCTCTCAAATCGGGATTAGCACCTCTAAGCAGTAGTCTCCTGGCAATCTCAGGATTTCCAAGTTTCATAACCTGGAAAAGAAGTTAAAATAGTAGAATCCTTCAACTACATGGGGAAAAAATCATATATATATCGGTTATATTGATCAACTATTTTTGGTGAAAGGAGGCTTGGTTAAGACTCAAAGGATGGGATCAGAGGGGTCCAGTTGCAGAAAAGAATGTACCAGTAGCAAAAAGTGGAAGAATGTATCTAAAAATTGAGCTTTTATGGTGGAATATCTTAAATGGCACAAAAGAGGGGTAAAATGATCAATAAAGTAGAACTACTTTAACTTGCATAAAAAACATTGACAACTCAGTCACTGTATCTTATGAAGTTTTGTTAATTTTATCAATTTATTAAAATAAATAGAATTGGGATTTAAATAAGCAGAGTTATTTTTCTATTTGCCTTTTCTTGTTCATAATATGTATCCAGGATAATAATCTGGGCAAACCAAATGTGGGTAAATTTCATTTTTTTTAATAGCTCCTGAAAAGAAATAAGGCTGTTGAGGTTCACTTTAAATTTCCATGAAGAGTTTCAACATAATCTCCTTCATCTATTGTTAAAATGGGCTGCTAAAACTCCAGACCTGATACCTTCTCAAATGATTATTTTTTACAGGTTTCTTCTAAATACAGCCCCAAATTCCCAAGTGTTTATTAAATAAAAAACAAGACTATTTTTTTCTTTGAAAATTATTTCCTTTTGGCATTCAGTGCCAAATTACAAAGTGTTGCTGATTATCAAGTAGATTAAAAAAAAAGCAACAGTGTTATTTGCTTATGATACCAATGTAGACTACATGCATAGAATGCTTTTCATGAGATAGATGATTATATAACCATTGTTCCTGAAAAGAATGTAACAGTCATCCTGTTAACATTACTTACTATTTCTCAAAGTGCTAACCAGTGTCCTGATTTTCAAGTGAGCAAAAGAAGAGAAAGTAAGATATCCAATGTGTATTTTGCACACAGCTTTCTTTGTAGTTTGAGCCATGTAATAATCAACCGGTTATCCCATCTTATTTCCTTTTGCAGTTTTTATCAGACATTTAAGAATCGCTATTTGTAAATTACCAACATTTTGAAAAATGATCTTAATAGAATCAGAATATGATCTTAAAATTTGCTATTAACATATAAGTAATTCACATTACAAAAATCTATTGTTGAGTATATTTTACTCTAGTAAGAGGTCTCTGTAGACTCTCCTACAATTATTAAGTATCTTTTAGAATAGCATAAGGTACATATTTAGTCATGAAAAATGCCTCATTTCTATGCTAGACATTTTCAGGATTTTAACTGGTTTCAGTTATATTGAAGTATATTTGTGGTAATCTAAATTTATAATACATAGGTTATGTAGTAGACACCCAAATGTTTATGAAACTAAGTTATAATCCTGGAAAATACATATAGAGTGGACCTCCTAAAAAGGTTTAAAAATAACCAGAATCAAATCATATAATAAAATATAATTTAGATAAATAAATTTTTGTAAATACAAGCTATATAGGTGGCCAGGATGTTGTTTGCCCTTTAATAAAGCACTGCTGATTTTTAGCCTTTCTTTTGGGTCAGTGATGAAAATGACACAATTTATTTTTCAAGAATTTCAATGCAAAATACTTTTTAGTTTTTAAAGACTGACACGATCTAATTTTGGCTGTAATTATCTTTAAAGGTTTAGTCTCATTTAAGTGCCTAGAGAGGGAAAAATAAGACAGGTACCTTAAATTTTTAGAAAACAAATATACGATTGAGGCCTGAAAAACTAACATTAGGAAGGGGGAAAACTTTTGTAGTTGAGTTCAAAAAACATAATTGTAGGAGAAAATTGGACATGTTTCATAGAAAATAATACTAAAGTTGGAAACCATTGAAAGAAAGACCTTTTTGAGTTATGACAGAACTGTAAAATCAGATTGTGTACTGAAAATAACCCTTCAGACTCTTGTTTATCTGTGGGTTTCATTATATATACTAGAATGAAGCCACAATAAATGGTTGCTAATATCATGATAAGTATTTTGAATATACGTGAGATTACAATTATTTTTAAAATTGTTTGCATTAAGTTCCCAGTCTTATAGATCGTTGGAGGCACTGTAAGATCTTATTCTAAGCATGGGTAAATGACTCATTCTTTTGAAATTTATATAATCTTTTGAGGTTTTCAATAAATAACTTTTCAATATATTAAATTTGTAGTATCATCACCAAACCCGTTCAAAACTCGTAGGTGGAAAGGGGAAAAAAACTTTTCTCTAATTAATGTAACTGCAATAACAAAATAAATAATTTAGTATCTACATAAAAATTCCCAATACGGAATTTTTGAAAGGTCAGCATATTTAGATTTAAAATGTAAAATCTATATAGAGTTTGCCTACTGATAGTATAGCTCCTTAAATTTCTTATTCTTGTAATTAAGGCAAAGCATTCTAAGATCCCTCTCCCTAGTGAGTACTGAAAAGCGTTGCCTTTCTGAATCAGAATGGTTCATAAGAATATCGTCAGAACTCTGATAGAACAAGTATTTAAAACTGTTTTGCTTTATTTCTGTTTCTGAGCCTTTCAACTAAGTTACCTGATAACATTCAGAAGAAGAAAAAAACTATCAGGTACAATAATGGTAGTTGGACATGTTTCAATTGTTGCCTGTAATTCTAATTACTAAAAATTAGAGCACACCACTGGCATGACGGCTGAGACAACACTAATGCTGAGTTTTCATTATAGAATTCAACATTTTATTCTTTCTAACTCCTGAATGAGTGGATGGTATTACATTAACTTTGAAATATACATCCTGTCCTTGTGCCCAGGCTACCCATTCCAAACCAGGCAAGGTCGGTTGTCAAAACTTGAAGCATTTGAAGGAAAAACACACTCCACAGTAGCCAATAAAATTAACATTAAAGTCAATTATTGGGGCCAAGTACGTGAAACCACTAATTACTGTGTATTTACTTTAAATAATCATCATAATACTGTGTTCACAGAGCTGTTTGGGGGGGGGGGGAACAACAACAACAAAAGCTCGGCGCAGCTAGGACTACTTTACAATCCCCACCTCCACAAAAACATTCCCAAAACTACGACCAAACCTGGAACCCACTTGATATCGAGGATGTTATTGTATTTGACGACTTTGATAAAAATAAGTACGTCATTTTGAGGAGTTGGATCCACTTAAAGATATAAAATATGGCAACCAACTAGGTTTAACAACAGTGAGATTTTGTACCCCTACAAGCTTAAAAGCTGTCATTCTAGAAACCCCGGTCACGTAGGCAACAATGTTGACCTGATTTCCCCACCTCTCTGGATACCAACCTGCAGCGCCGTCCTTCCAAATCCATTTTGTGCATTGACGTTTACATTATTTTGCAACAAACTAGTAAGTTGCTCTAGGTCCCCCCTGGCAGCTGCGGACGCCAACTCGTTCCCCCAAGGCTCGGCCATTCTTTAGGGTCCTGACGATCGGGAAAAGATGAATTAGTTGTTTTCCTCTCTCCCCTTTCTTTTGCTCCTACCCAGGCTGCATGATGGCATCGGAGACTGACAGAAGGACTGGGATGGTTAATCTTCTGGAGTAGAGCTCGGTAGTAAATACTAGTAAGATCTGCCTGCCAAAAGCCCGCCCCTCGATTCACACGTGATTATTCAGCAAAACGGAGCCGTTGGAGAGGGGCTCCCCTCCTCGCTTTTGAGCTTAACCCCTGTGAAGGATTCTGGTGATTCGAGACAAACACGCTTACATTCCTGGGAAATTACCCGGGACCTAAGATGTGGGCAGAGCTGTCACGTCCCTTCGCGACAGCTCTCTGCGAGGACTGTGTGCGGAGACTTAAGGGGCGAGCTAGACCGGGCAGAAAAGACTGCGGAAGAAAAGACATTCGGGGTGGGGGCGGCGGGGCGGGGGGGCGCGGGGGAGAGGAGAAAAGGCAGTAGTCACCCACCCTTGGTCACAGTGGTGACTTGAGCTGCGGACGCCAGACCTTCGGGGGCAGGTCCTCGGCGGGGCTCGGTCTCCATCCGTCGCGGAAGGGCTCGTCCCGGAGTCCTCCTGCAGGGCGAGCGCCGCGGTGGCTGGAGGCTGACGTGCTCGCGGGGGTTAAAGACGATCGCCCACAGCAAGCGGGGCTCGCGGTGGCGTGGCCCTCAAGTCACTGGTCGTAACCACTCCCCAGTGGTCCGGACTTCGCGGGAGGAGCCTTCGGGCCGAGGCGGCGGCGGCGG